TCACTCGATCCATAAACCACCCTACTTCAATAGAGTAATTTATTCCTATTAAAAAAATATGATGATGTTGTTCATCCAATCCATCGACCTTGCAGTTTAGGATGCCATCATCGACGGTTCTCCTGTGCCTCTAAGAAATGGAAGAAGTGGAAAAGTGAAGATAGGAAGCCTGCCCAGCTCAATGCCAGAGCCATGCACATCCTCTTTTGTGCTCTTGGCCCCGACGAGTATAGTAGAGTATCTTCTTGCTCTAATGTTAAGGTGATTTGGGACAAATTGAAGGTGACCCAGGAAGAAACAAGCCAAGTGAAGAAGTCAAAGATTGGCATTCTCACTCTCAACTATGAGAACTTCAAGATGAAACCCGATGAAGACGTAAAGACAATTTATGATCAGTTTTCCATGATCATCAAGGACTTGAAGAACTTTAGGAAGGTCTATCCAAATGAAGAAATGGTGATAAAGATGCTTGCCTCATTGCCTACATTATGGAAAGGCAAAGCAAATACCATCGAAGAAGCCAAGGATTTTGAGTTATACACCCTTGATGAGCTCATAGGTTCTTTACTCACCCTTGAGGTAAAGCTTCAAAGAAAGAATGAAGAAGAAGAATAAGAAGAAGAAGAAGAAGAAGAAGAAGAAGAAGAAGAATAAAAGATAAAAAAAGAAGGAGGTGGGAATCACCTTCAAATCCAGCAATGGAAGTAATCAAGATTCAAGTGAAGAGGTGGATGAGGATGAAGAAATGACCAAGTTCTTCAAACGATTCACTAAATTCATGACTTCCAAAGCAAAAGAAGTGAATCATGAATTTAGTAAGAAGAAAAGTCTCTCGGTGTGTTTTGAGTGCCAAATACGAGATATTTCAAGTATGAATGTCATTTCCTAAAGAAGAAGTCATTTCCTGAAGAAGAAGGGATTAAGCAAAAAGAATGCATTTGTGGCGGCTTGGAGTGATGATGTAGCCAACTTATACCTCATGGTCATTCAAGAAGATTCAATGGTAACTTCTAACTCTTGTGATTTAAATTCTTACTCATTTAAAGAGTTACAAGATGCCTTTGATGAGTTGTATTTGGAATTTGAAACCACAAATTCAAAATATAAGAAATTAATTTCAAAATTTAACGTTAAAAATAATTTGATTTTGAAAGTAAAGTTTGCTTTTGAAAAAAAATGATGTTTTGAAAAATGATTTTGAGCTTTCAAAAATTAAAATCAATGATTTGGAGAAAGAAAATTTTGAGTTAAAAGTTAAGCTTGAAAGCTTACAAAAGAAAAAGAAATAATTTATCAAAACAATTCATCATGTATAAAAATGGCAAAATGCTCACAATGCCATTTCCATGGTCACACGGAACATACTTGTCCTTTAAAACTTGGAAAACATTTTAAAATTAGACAAGTATGAGTTCCCAAGGGAACAAGAGACTTTTGTACATTCAATGATCCAAAACAATTTGGATACCAAAATTAATATAAATGTCTCTTGTAGGTGTGCGGGAGCAATGATGACAAAAGTAAAGAAATTCAAATGCTCTAGCCACACAAACTGAGGAATGGATAACCTTTACACTTATTTTTTTTTCATAATTGGTTGCCTATTTGATTTTTTATGCATGCATGAGTTTTAAGCTTAAATGGTTATGTATTTTTTCAGTCTCATATATGTTTAAAAGTTTTATAATGAATAATTTTCTTATGTTAATGATTTTTTATAAATGTTTCATTCTAATGATTTTTGGTTAAAATTGTTTTTAATGTTTTGTTTTTATTAATTGTGATTATTTACCTTAAATTAAATGTTTATGCATATGATTTTATTGCAAATGATATCTCTCTAACAATTGATATCAATTTTTCAAATACATAACATTTTTGGATATCTTTATGCATATGAATCTTAATGTCTTATGTTAATAGTGCATAAAGTAGTATAGACTTGGATTTATTGAATTTCATGTGTTACTAACATGTTAGTTCATCTTTGTTGAAATTCAATTTTTTAAGTGTCAAGCCTTTTTAAAGTTAAAACATTTTGGAATGATTTTGTTGATGGGGAGATTTTGATTTTTCAAAAGACTTAGGGTTGAAAGTTTCTACTTACTCTCCATTGTTATTTTTGAACATTAAAGTTTGAATTATTTTTGATATAACAAAAAGGGAGAGAAGTATGAGTTTGAAAAATTCAATTCAGGAACGAAAAAAAATCAAGGAGCTTTAATATTTTCCAAAATATTTATCTTTTTCATTAAATGTTTTATTAAGGGGGAGTTTTGCCAAAAACCATTTTTCAAATGTTTTGTTATATAAAAAAATGGAGATTTTTGAACTATTTTGATATAAAAATTAAGGGCAAAATGTTTTGGAACTAAATTGAACTTATTTAAAGTTTTCAAAAATAATTCAAAATCCATAAAACTTGAATTTGAACGCAAAACACCTTTTAGGACAAGAAGTATCGAAACCACATGAACATTATCTATATTGTTTATGTAATATTATATCCAAGGGTAAGGGAAATATCGATACTGCCTATTGATTTTAAATGTGTTCAAATTCCGGTATGCAATTTTCGTAATGATACTCTGCAAGTATCGATACTAATATCAATGCTCCAAACCCTAGTATCGATACTCTCTGTCCAACAATCATAAAATGACTAGTTTTTATTATAGTAGTACCAATACTCCCAACTCGAGTATCGATACTCTTGTGTTTTGACATTTTTGTTTTGCATATTTTTATCCCAAACGGCTAGAAACGTCAACAAACACATTCCAACATATAAAAACAAGTTGAGGACACTTGAAGAATGTCACAACACCTATCCAAGCAATCCACATCAAGAGAAATTCTCTTTCATTCTTCTTTTTTCTTTTCTCTTGTATATGAGTGTTTTTAGTGAGCTTAATTGTGTAAACACCTTCCTTTGAGAGGCTTCTTGTTTATGTTTTCTTTATCTTTTGTAAAAGGTTTGGTTCTAGTTTAGCCATTAAAAAATAGGGAGTTGTAAAAGGTTACTCTTGAGCCTAGAAAAAGAAAGAAAAAATTAGAGAATTTGTTAGAAAATCTTTAGTGTGAATCTAGGGTAGTGGATGCAGACTTAGTTGAAAAGTCGAACCACTCTAAATCATTGTGCAAATTGTCTATCCTTTCTCTCCATACTCCCAAATTTTATTTTGGCCAATTCACCCCCTCTTGCCACTATTTTCGGTTGATTAATTGAGCTTCTATAATCCTAACAGTTTCTTAAGGCAGTCCTTAGGTTTTTCCCACCTGAATCGCGTTTGCTTCTATGAATAATAGGAAGCCAACTGCAAAAAACAGGTGACTAACTATAGTACCTCCTCTAGTGATTTTTAAATCTTCCTAGTTACCATTGTCAATTTCCTCTAGAATCATATGTGGTAATCTTTCCATCACTAATGTAAAAAGGTATGTAAAAGGTTAGCCATTGAAAAATAGGGAGTTGTAAAATGTTACTCTTGAGCCTAGAAAAAGAAAGAACAAATTAGTGAATTTGTTAGAAAAATTTTAGTGTGGAGTAAGGTAGTGGATGCAGACTTAGTTGAAAAGTTGAACCACTTTAAATCATTGTGCAAATTGTCTATCATTTCTCTCCATACTCCCAAAATTTTTATTTAGCTAATTCACTCTATCTTGGCACTATTTTCGGTTGATCAATTGAGCTTCGATAATCCTAACAATTTCTTTAGGCAGTCCTTAGCTTTTGCCAACCGAATCGCGTTTGCTTCTATGAATAATAAGTGGTCATCTGCAAAAAATAGGTGACTCACTTTAGTACCTCCTCTAATGATTGTTAAAGCTTCCTAGTTACCATTGTCAATTTCCGCTAGAATCATATGTGATATCTTTTCATCACTAATATAAAAGGTATGTGGATAGAGGGTCTTCCTGTCTAAGTCCTTGATTCGGCTTGAATCCCTCGGTTCGCTCACCATTCCAAAGGACTCAATCTAACTGTTCTGAATGCAGTATAGAATTAGTGAAATTGTATCCTGTGGAAAATCAAAATCCTCAGAAATTTTCTTTATAAAAGACCAGTTCACGTTGTCATACGCCTTTTGTAATTCAATTTTCACAACAATGGCTCCCTTCTTTCCTTTCCTATTCATGATTGTGTGCACTGATTCCTGCACAAGTAGAATATTATCAGTAGAAGATCGGCCACCTAGAAAACTATTTTGGTAAGGGCTGATAACTATTTTGGAGAATAGGAAGAAGTCTATTCACCAAAACTTTGGACATAACTTTATGAGTATTGTTAAATAAACTAATAGGTCGAAAACGAGAAATCCTGTTTGTTTCGTTTATTTTAAGAATTAAGCCCATGTTGACTTTAAGAACACTATTATCCACTTTCTGCATTTTGAAGCCTTCGTTCACAAAATTATAGAGGGTCTGATTTATAGTTGCCCACTATTTTTTGAGAAAAATCGAATGAATTCCATCGGGATTAGGAGCTTTTAGATTTTTCATAGAAAAAAGAGTTCTTTTAATTTCTTCCATGGAAACCTTCCTAGTGAGAACCATTTTCTCTATATCATTCAGCACAAGAAGAAATTTAATGTAACTTTCGCCTCCTTCCTTCTAAATAAGTGTTTGTAAGACTCTATCATATGATTTTCCAGGGAAAACTTATCAGTAATCCACGAATCTCCCACGAACAGACCCAAAATTCTATTATTTCTTCTCCCGATTTTCGTGGTAATACGAAAAAACCTAGTATTTATCTCTCCCTTGCAAACCCAATCCAATCTTGACTTTTGTAACCAAAATATTCTTCTTGATTTAGCACCTCTTGATACTCAGATAGAAGCTCTTTTTCCAAATCTTGGAAATACTTAGAGTGAATGTATGATCGGAGTTTTGAATGCCCTTGAGTCTATTTCTAATCCTTCTCTTTTTTTAGAATATATTCTCCAACGCTTCTTTTTCTCATAGCTTCACAGTTTTGCTAGTTTCCACGACTGCTTTCATGATGTTCTCTCTCTTTCTGTTCCAGGCATCGGTAAAATTACCTTACAGTGTTCCTGCGTTAACCACATTGCTTGGAACCGGAAAGGTCTCCTATTCCTGTCAATCACATAATCTTCCTTAGAATTCCAAAGAATAGGGTGATGGTCTGAATAACGTCTTTGGAGAGTGTTAGGACGAATGCAAGGAAAAAGATTAATAATTTCAGCATTGTGAAGAAGCCTGTATTGTCTTTCCTGAAGCGTAACTGTACCGTTTTGAGTTCTCACCCAAGTGAATTTATTCCCTATCCATCCCGCATCTAGTAAGTTACACCTATTCCATCTGTCTTTAAATTGCAAAATCTTGTCAATTCTGTTGGATTGACATCCTTTTCTCTCTTCTAGCGAAGCATTGTCGTTAAAATCTCCCATAATAATCCTAGGAGCGTTATTTTGATCCGCATAAAGGCTTAAATCATTCCAAAATTCTTCCTTCTTCTTTTCATGAGGTTGCACATGCCCAATGCAGCTCATCAACAAAACACTTCTCGTTTTCTTTCATCTCGCAATGAATTATTTGATTAGTGTTGTATTTAATAGTGATCGTAACATCATTCGAGTTCAAAAGCAAAACAAGCCCCCTTTAAAACCTTCAGCATAGACCTCAAAAACTTCATCAAACTTAAACTCTCCTAAGACTTTTTGTCACACCCCAAAATTAAGGAGAAGAATTTATTAAATTTAAGTATCGAATTAAAGTTGTAATAAGGAAAATTTAGGACCATGTTGTAAGTTTCTGAAATTTTTGGGTTAGTTTTAGAAGTGCTGGAAATCCAGAGACCTAGTCCTAGATTTGCCCATTTTTAATGGTCAATGAAATTTATTTCTTCTTCCCCCGATCAGAATCAAAACCAGTTGTTAAATAACCCGGCTCCAAAAATTTGCATCGACCCAAACAACCGCCCTATCGCCATTCAGTCACCTCCGGCCAGCGGTGAAGTACACCGACACTCCCAGCTGCATCGCCACCATCTCGCGACTCTAGGTCAGACCACTAAACACCGAGATCAGCCGTCGTTAGTCGGGATTCAATCGTTGGAAGTTCCACCATTTTTAAAGCCCATCCGCCTGAATTTCGTCGATTCCAACCGTTATGCTCGCCCATTCACCTCACCGCTCTGAGCACCAGACTCTCCACCTCCGTCCGCTCGAAACCCGACCCATGAGTTACTCCGTTACCGTCAATTTTTTCCCGATCATCGATGTGGGTAATTTCTCCGATTATTTTCTTGTTTATATAAATAATTTTGGTTGAAATTTTTGGACTGAAATTGGTTGATTGGGGTTAGTGGAAGCTCGTGGATGATTCGGCCGATTGCTCTAGTCCTTGCCATCGTGGAGCTTGTCTTGGCCTGAGAAAATTCCAGAACCTGCCCGGCCTGCCCGACCCACCTGTCCGACCTGTTTGACCCAACCAAGTCAACTCGTTGACCGTTGACTTTGATCAAAAAGTCAAATTTTTCAAAAAAACCCTATTTTATATTTTTTGACATCGTGAGTCCGAATTCGAAGTCCGTTTTTGCAAATCCGCAATCAATAAGTCGCTTTTCAAGGTTTAATCTTCAGATTCAAGATTTATTTCACATTTAAATTCAATTTTTGATGTAAATTTGTTTTCTTTGTATCAGAGGACTCAGACGTAAAATTTGAATAAGGACAGAAAACGGTATAAGACTCAGATGACTCGATAAAGTAAAATTGGAAGATCAATCGAAAATAATTATAAGTTCAGTGATCCAATAATAAATGAATCGATTTCAAGATCAATGAAGTTTGATAAATTCTGTTAAAAGGTTAAATATAGGGATTTAATGGATATGAAGTTACCGAAAAGAACAAAACGAGATAAAATCACGAAAATGCCATTGTAATGGAAAAATAACAAGACTTCTCTCGAATAACTCTGAAAGGATAAACTTGATTATATATCAGAAAAATTGCATATGATCGAATTGAAAGTAATTACTGAAAGATCCTCGAGCTTCGTAATAACTATAATAATAACCTTCAATGTTCAAAGGATAAAAATACCCTCAACACTAAAGGAACTAGATTGCATTCAAGCCTAATGTATCGAAAGTATGCCACTGACAAAATTGAACGAAATTATGATGGTATGCTTAAAATGTAAAATGACCAAAATACCCTAAAGTGTGAAATGACCAAGGAACATCTAAGCACTATATTGAATAATACTTCCAGATCTAAAAAGAATAAATCAACCTCCAATATTTATTGACCTAAGTAACCTCAATGACTTAGGACTAAGTGAATGATTTGGATAAGTCTGGAAACACTTATGAGCTTACATGATGTACTCTCCCTGTGGGTTGTGAACCACGAATCAAGTATATTGACATTTTCCTAATAGTGTTGCAATGTGGGAATGAATTATAGACCATTGGAATATCTATTCGTCTCCTTAAGATATATTCAACGATGATTCTAAATGTGATCTATGGACAAGAATTATTGGTATACAAGAGTGAATACCCTAGAAAGGCAACGAATTGATCGATCAACATGCATTAGTTCTGGGAGTTGTTCAGCTCGAGTATTTCGATAATCCGATAGGTCGACATAGATTGTAAATGTCATGAATCTTCGTTTCTCCCTTATTAGCTCAAATCACTCCGGTCATATATGAAAACACAAGTAACTCAGATGCAAGGATACTGAATACCCTATTTGGTTCATTGTACTTAAAATCTTGATAATTGAATGTAAAATCTTGAATACCCCAGATTGTTTGAGTAATGGAATCACTCTCCGTAAATCTGCATATAGAAGTTATTTAGTATAAAGATTCCTGAACACCTTCCTGATGCACTTGGATCATAGTGGGATTCTAAAGTATCAACTCTAAATGTATGATTAGATCCATTAGTAATCGATCACTTTCAAGAGGACCTTGTTCATGTAATCCGATCAAATTACATCAGTTTTATGTTTTCCATTGATGATAAAACTACCAACTGCCTCTGAAAAATACTTGGATTCTCTAATGTGTTCCACATGAACTACATGACTGTTTTATATGTTTGAAATGAGTTTTAACAAAATTATTGTTTTACTGGTTTATTAACCATGGCAACATGGTATGCGTTCTCCAATTTCGGTTTTCACCGAAGAATATGAATTGTTCCTGATTTATGGAATCATGGAATTTACTGAGTTATGAACTATGATTTCTTGTTTTTACTGGTTATTACTTGAACTATTTTATTGGGATATTATCTGGGTAGTATGGAGTATAGAGGTACAGCTCTGATCAAGATGGTAAATCCTTACGGACCTAAGGTGACCCTTGGGTAGGCTCTCAGACCCCATGGCACTCTCTCATGTTAATCATGAGACTACTTATGGTGTACATGTGGAGATCAATTATACTGTTTATTTGATTATCACGGTTATGACATATGGTTGGATTACGATCTAGATATTACGATTTACGGATAAGACTGATTTCTAATGGATTTTTATATAGATAGGATTTTGGAGTATGGAGGTACATCCCTAATCCAGCTGTTAAATCCTTACGGGACCTAAGGATACCCTTGGATAGGCCTATAGGCCCCAAGGCATTCACTTAAATTGGCTCCCTTTGCTGTGTGCTTAGGGTAAGCCCTTACGGATGAAGTTATGGGGAACTGCATAACGGTGTTTGGTTGGAGGGTTCTACTATGGTTCTGAAAATATGTTGTAAATAATTACTGTTCTAAAAAGATTTATATCATTTCCCTGGTTTTAGTTGGAACACACTAGACATAATATTCAATCTTCTGAAAACTTGATACTATGAATGTTCTTTATGAATTATGAACTGAGATCATCATGGCTTATACTCGATGAACTACCAGTGGAACCCCAGCTTATTCCGAAAACATGTATACGTCTGATTCAATAAGGAAATTTTATTGTTCTTCATTTATCTGCATGTCCTGTAGCATCAATTGGTAGTATTGTATTGCTGAGCTTCCCAAAGCTCACTCTTTGTTACTCACCATTTCAGGATAAAGAATTGAACTAATGCAGCTATGGACTTCAGTAGGGGAGTTCGACCGGCGTTGCTTGCGGAGTACGGTGCATGTAATTAGGGGGCATTTAGGTTGTAATTTGTTTTACATATGAGTCCAAAATTTGTTTTATTTCTGAATACTGGTAAATTTACTTTTGTATTTATAAATGATTTTATGATTTTATATGTTTTAATAAAAAAATTTAATTTTTCTGAGATTTTTACGGTGGGTTGCTCTGGTGGTCCTAATGTGATAACCCGGATCAGATCAGGCCACCCACATCATTATGAGGGTGTTACATTTAGTGGTATCAGAGCCTAGGTTGAGTCAAAATTTTCTAGATAGATCGGCCGATCGAGTGTCAAAAGATGTTTGGTCAGTACATGCCCCTAGACTATAATCGTACTTCTCTAAGCAAAACTCCAAAGTCGAGTCCATCTCTGTAATGAGCTAACCTAAGTATTTCTACCCATTAGGGCTTGACCCGTGCATAAAGGAATACATTATCGTTTGTCGAAATCCTGTAATGTGTCTCATGAGTAATGCGAGAGTTACTTATTCGAGAAATTCTGACCCGACTTTCGAAATGAAATTGGAATATGTTACTGCCCTATGAACCTAACCTCGTAACCAAGGTTAAATTGATTTCACGAGGATAATTTTGTTATGATTCTGTTATTGGAATGAGGTAGAGTTCTGACGGAAATGTTTACTCAGCTAGTTAAGGATTAATAAAGGACATGTACTTCTGTAAAAGCTATTTGAAGACATAGAAGAACTGATGGAAGCTTCATTTTTGCATTTCTGTGACTTGAGTGAATTTCGATGACGAAATTCTTTTAAGGAGGGGAGAATTGTCACACCCCAAAATTAAGGGAAATAATTTATTAAATTTAAGTATCAAATTAAAGTTGTAATAAGGAAAATTTAAGACCAAATTGTAAGTTTCTGAAATTTTTGGGTTAGTTTTAGAAGGCTGAAAATCCAGGGACCTAATAATGAATTTGCCTATTTTTAATGGTCAATGAAATTTATTTCTTCTTCCCCCCGATCAGAATCAAAACCAGTTGTTAAATAACCCAACTCTAGAAATTTGCATCGACCCAAACAACCGCCCTATCGTCGTTCAGTCACCTCCGGCCAGTGGTGAAGTACACCGCCACTCCCAACTGCATTGCCACCATATCGCGACTCTAGCTGGGACCACTAAACACTGAGATCGACCGCCGTTAGTCGGGATTCAATCGTTGGAAGTTTCACCGTTTTTAAAGCCCCGCCACCTGAATTTCGTCGATTTCGACCGCTATGCTCGTCGATTCACCTCGCTGCCCCGAGCACCGGACTCCCCACCTCTGTCCACTCGAAACCCAGCCCATGAGTTACTCCGTTGCCGTCAATTTTTTCTGATCATCGGTGTGAGTAATTTCTCCGATTATTTTCTTGTTTATATAAATA